AGTTTCATAGATATTTATTCGTTCGATTGTAGAGTACGAAATTATTGTACCGCGAAATTAAAAATAAATACAGATTTAATATGCTATATAATTGTTTATTCTTGCAATTATCTATTTTAAATACCTTTCCTACTCGTGTACTTAAAATGATATTGTATCAAGTCCGCAGTAGAATGCTGAACACTTTCTTATTCTAGTTTACTTATTGGTTTTGACTATTTCTGTATAAGTAAAAAGGATTCAGGCGATAATATAGGCGTTCTTTTCATCACACTTATGTTTAATGTATACAAAAACTTAAAGGATTATGATAATATTAAGAAAAAAAAGCTACATACAATATGTAATGGAAAATGACATATCTGTAACACTACCCTACAATGTTGCTACAAATAATTCTTAACGGAGGAAAAAGAATTGTTGCAAGAAATATTTTGCAATAAATTGTAAAGCTATGTAACTAATATTTTACATATTCAAGTATACCACCGGGCGATTCATAGATTTATACAAGTTTTACAGTGGATCAGCAGCGATTGAAGTAAAATCTACAGTCAGGTAGATGTAGTATAATGACTGTAAATAGTAGTAGACATTTATATCTACAACATACCTTCGTGCAATTCAAATTTGTATGTAAATTTATAACTAATAATGACCTCAAATCTTCTTTTGGTTGCTGGTTTCAGTAATATTGTAAATGTGCACTGTTCATCATTCGTAACTTATTTGTCTTTGTACAATTATTTTCTTGTCTACGGAACAGCTAAAGAAAGTCTTGTAGTACGCTAACATACCTAGACATAAACTAAATGCGAATCATTCGTCGGACTAATAAAAATATGATGCCTTTACATTATATGAAAATAATACACATTTGGTTTGTACGTATGTACTTATGTTTGATTAATGCTACACTCATGATACTAACTTTCTTCTACACTGTTTATCTCTATTACAATACATACTAATTTCTTTTCACTTGTGTATCAGTTTCGTTCCATACGAAGTAATAATGTTTGAGGTGTTCTACTTTAAACGTCTTCGCTTTAAAATCGTTTGCGTCACCGAACGTATGTCCTTAATCCTTTGAAACATGCAGTTTTCAAAATTTATACAAGTTCTTATTTATGTAACTATTAAAAGATTCGGGTAACGTGTTTTATTTTATAGAACAGTTTGACCACGATTACTAATCAAACTAGCGTTAAAGCCGTGTTTCAAAGAATTAATAAGTGCAGTTTTCGGGTTTTCAAATTATCAACTTTTTTAATGTAGAAAAAAAGATCTCATGAATCGTGTATGATTAATTTCAAATAATCTTCTTCTTATGATACTCAATTAATTTTGAAGTGTATAACGTAAGAAATATTACACCCATGTGTCCTTTCATTAAAATAGGTTTCTTATTTTTATATATTGCTTTATTCTGTTTGCCATCAGACACACTTAGGTTCGCATTAATATTGAGCACTCCTGGATGGATATTATGCAAATATTATCTGTATAGTTGTTAAAACTATAACAGCATCTTCATTGGATGTTTCCCACTGGATGGACTTGTGTGCATTATATTAGTAAATGCAGAGGCAATTTCCAAAATGTGCCTTTCACTTCGAAATGGAGCGCTTAGAATCTTAACTATTTACTATTTAGTTCGGTTTGACGGCAAACAAAGACTGGTCAAAAACGGCAATTGTATAATTGTTATCACTCTTAGTAATGATTTCTATATAGTTCACGACATCTAGATTCAAATATTTATTATAAATATCTCCACCTGATGCCAGCAAGTATTATTCAAGTATCTTATGAATTGCATTTTGTAAAATGTACTTCTTAAACGCAAACGGTACCTCAGATATATATATATATATATATATTTGAAAGTCGGAAAAGTTACGTTATTTTAAAATCCTATGTTCTTTTCATTCGATTGTATCGAAGCAAGAGAATTTGTTAACATTACGATCCAGACATATAAACAATTTCTTGCGATATACTGCGCCTGTTATCAATAACATTTTATATTGTGCTACTTTTCAATCGTGCGCACACACATTGCTACATGTTTCCATGAATATACATTCAAGATTCAGAATACCGTACATTTTCGTTTTTTTTGTATGATTTTGTATGAATTTGCGTTTCCGTAATACATGTAATCTTAAATTCTAATGTTTTCGATACAGCGGGAAACATTGCATTTTGTGTTGTACACTACTGATTAAAATTCAAACAAATTCGACGTTGATTTATCTCGTACAATTCTTATATATGTACATATCGATAGTACTACTATAAATTAACGGAGAACATAATTGTATAAGATTACAAAAATTACAATTGTTAAAATACTTGTACGCGTTGTTACCTATTCCAAAATGTGAATAAAGTCAAATAATTTAGTGGTCAATGATACCGGATTCGTTTTGAATGTTTGCAATATATGAATGAATAATATTGATCATTGACATGATTTCTGTGACGTTAAGGAATGAATTTCAACTCATGTGTTTAATATACTGGCAGCTTTAAACTTTATGAATGTTTAAGAATGAAGTAACCCTACGATTTTATTTCACACGAATAATATAAGTATTGAAAGAGAGCAAACTTTTATATATCTATTTAAATGGTTTTTACCATAAGCAACAAGAAAATGTATTTGAAGTATTATTACATTACATGTTTATTTATACAATTAAACTATCTATATACAATATATCAATATGAATGTTGTATAATTTTTTTGTAACACATATTTAAAGTGGCTTTTTAATGGCGTTAGCCGTTCACACACTAAACTTCTATCTATTCGACGTTGTTTATAATCTGTATACATAAAAGTTATGAACCTGTAATGACATCCCAGACTTTGCAGATGAGCATTCTATACTTATGATTATATCGACCACAGGAATTCACTTAATTTTCATAAGAAATTAATACTCTTATTAATAGTCACAGATTAAGATAGATTTGAAAGATGTTGAATTAGGCACAAAAAATAGCATCATGTTGCATTAGAAATGATAGCATGATTAATAATATATTATAATGTATAATATACCTATACAGATTAACTGAAATTTGATTACGCTTCATTCGAATATTTGGTTGTTATTATACCTACATTTGATGTCCCTTCCTGAACTGGTTTTAAAAAATTGCGATGTAAAATGACCCCTCAACAATCTTCACACATTTCTATGATTTTGTGACATGATTTAATACTATACTTCGTGATGCAGGAAGGTGTTTCCGTAATTAAAAAAATAGAATAAAGCTCTTACTTATTCGTTGTTCTTAAACGTAATCTTATCGAAGATACGTCCAAACGATATATAAAAGTGTAACTAAACTGAATTCATGATACTTTTCTGCTATATATTCGTATTCCCAATTGAAGTAGGATTTCAAGAGTATCGGTTACTTCATTTTTTATCGGGGGAAAATATGTATTAATCTTATGGGGGGTTAAACCTCGAATAAATAAATGCAAATTTATAAAATTATATGGATGAAAAGATCATATTTAACACTATACTTGTTTCTGTCTTATACTTAGTTGTTTTCTATTCGCACCTATTATATCATTTATGTATATTTTACCTGATGTAATAGTGATTTAAACTTAAACAGTTGTCCCATAGGTACTGAACATCACTCTGGTGGTATCTGTGTCCAGAGTAACGTCTTCTGGAGATGCTAAATCGACTTTTATGGAACCAGAATTGTTTCTTCTCCTGGTTATACCACCTCCCCAATTCGATAACGTCCAGTGGTAAGTTTCGCTTTCTTTTTCAGTATTGGTGGTTTCCTGTGCGTCGTTGTCTTTGTCTAAACCGGTCTCGATGGAAACCGATGATTGCGAGGCAACGGAATCGAAGCTAGAATCCGCCGCTCCTCTATAACGGCTAACGTAATCGGTAGACATTTCACCAGGCGACTCTTCGATTGCCCTAAGTATGTTTTGACAGAGTTCCGAGTCGAGGGGGATTGGATTTTCGGAGTCACGATTGTGAATAGTAACAGCTATATGAGCTGGATGTGGGATAGGAAGAGGAATTTGCAACTTTTCCGCGCTATAAGGGCGAATTTGTCGTTTCCAAGGTTGCCAGCGTGCTTCCGTAACACCGTTTGTCGAAGTTGCGCGCCTTCTAATCCTCGTGGACGTTAACAGCCCTCCAGTATCACTGCGCGACAAACCATTTGTATATCGCTTACTTCAAATACATTACATCAATTACTAAGTATATTGAAAAAAAAAGAAAATAATTCTTTACCATCGTTTTTCACATTTTCTACTGTTGTTAGGTTGCTTGGATCGCGGATTGAATGCCGATACTTCTAGGTAAGGACTATAAACTTGTATATTCCCACGTGGCGCGTAAACTGCGCCCAGCAGATCTGGACCGTTAGTGCCACCGAGTTCAGTGCTATGAATCATATCCGTGTAACGTGACAGATCAACTCCTGGATGTGGTTCCAGTCTGAACTTAGTGTCTGCGTCGTCGAGAGGTTGAAGAAAGTTTAAACTGAAAATATCTGCGTACATAAGACCAGCTAAGCCGGCCCAATCGCCAACACTTAAACCTTTATTTTCCCAGAAATCGTCCTCGTTTCCTGACAATCTCGCGAATACGTGAGTAGGATAGAGGCGCTCTAACATGAGGGCTCCCTGTTGTATCACTACCTACGCCGTTATGAAAAGAATGGTTTTAGTTTGTAACGTTGGAAACGGAAGTTTTTTAGGAACTCGATTACCTTCAAATCAAAGGTAGTAAGTTTTATTTTACTCTTCACAACCATGCCGAGGCCAGTTTGTAAATTTTTCCTACGTCTGTCTAATTTCTCATGTAATACTGCAATTAGATTTTTGGCTTCCTTTTCAAGGGACTTATACGGGTCTTTCGTTTTAGCTAAACTAGCTGCGAACGGACCAAAACAGGCTTCGACGAACTGAGTGAAATCCCTCTGCGGCTGAGTGATCAGTCGTTCCGTCTCTTGCTGAAAAGCTAACAATTCGTCTAGCTCTAGTTTCGCTTCGAACGCGGCTAACGCTTGCTCGGGTCTTATCTGCGAAGAAGCGTGAAACAATTAGCCATTCGACTGATTCGCATTCCATTTCAGAATCACATACTTGATAATAGTAATCGGATGTTAATCCTGGCCCGGCTATTCGTTTCACTACGAAGCTGTCGCTGGCAGGTATACGACCCCTGTTCTTTATTACTAAATGGAACATTGCCGTATCCCAGACCACTCTAATCCAGTAACGTATCACAGAAACTAATGTAAACAGCACGATATATTTTATATCCATTTGATGAAAATATAGTAATTCCTATGAATTAACCTTACTGTCATTGTACCTGTAAGTATCACAAAAGAAATGATGGGGCATAAAATAAGAGCTACGATTAACGCTGCTATTGGCTGTAGACATCCTTGAATGCCGATATTCCAAACTAACGCTTCCATAATGACTAAGTATCGATTCCGACTCGGTTCTGGACTATCAAGATCCATTATAAGCGCCATGAATGCATGTAATGCCAAGGTAATCAGAGGCATCCTAAAATAATGAAACAGGATGTTAGCGTTTCGAACACAATCGTGGAATGTGAAAAGCGACATCATCAACGAACCACAATATCGCGGTAAGCGCAATAAGGAGTGATCCCAAACTTGTTAGTATACAAACGACAGGAAAAACAAATAATATTACAAGTGTTCCTAGTAGTCCTTTCACGCCATAGTTCCATAGCCTATTTAAATGTCTCGTCATTCCTTTGCCGATAAATCCTAATTCACAATACGACATTAGTTAATCGATCAACGAATAACTTTATAAATTACGAATGAATTTTACTCACCGGTATCTGGTTCCGTTTCGAAATGGGTCCGACTTTTACTAATATGTCTCCATAGTGCTATCAATCGAGAACAAAGAGTGGGCATTTGAGAAGACTTTCTGGGAAACAAGGTGCCGTTTAACTGACTTAATTCTAAATCGGGGGTAAACGGTTGTACGAGTAATAAGGCCCTGACAGAAACTGGGCAACACCACGGCACTGCTACGCCCAACAGGAACATCGCATTCCAAGTCCAACACCATGTCCTAGCCACGTAGTTTATCCAACGCCACATAGGCCACCTGATTTAAACATCGTTAAACACACCGTCAATCGTGTTAATAAACGTCACTTTGTTTTCGAACTTTAATGATCCTCAATATTACACACCTCGTCGTAGTCGTGTGCACGATTTCTCTTTCAACTAGAAAGACCGGCTGACTCGGATCAGCGCGGGGCGTTGTAATAGATGTCGGAGTGTTGCTCAGCACCGTTGGTATAATTTCCGATTGTCCTTGGAAATTGCGTCTAACAATCCAATTCTTTGGAAGCCATATTTGAGTCGGCCATTGGAAACTTCTTGTAGGTGTTTTAACTTTCCGTAATTCTTTCAACAAAACTGGTTCCCTCTGAACGAAGCAAATAAAGAATAAAAATATCAGTTTCTACGATACAAATATGATTCGCGTAATAATGCAGAACGTTCTGTGTACCTCTTTCATAAAAGTTAAATCACGATTAAGAAAGTAAACCGTCTGTTGTAGGTTCTGATTAGTACAGAGGGTCAGAGCTTCTTCGTGCGCGCTCCACTCGCATTCCTCTATGAATTTTTCTTCGACTTCTCTCATTCTGTCGCGCATCCAGGGCTCTATTCGAGAGAGCACCGGGTGCTCGTTCTCGACATGACGTCTCAACGATTCTTTGGTTTGCAGTAATTTCCGTTGCACCGTTTCCACTGCTCGGTGCATCAATACGACCGATTGCGCCTGCTGGACCAAAAGCTGAGCAATTCCGTTCCCGAGATCAAGTATATCCGGGTGTGTCAGAATATTGGAGAAGACTCGTTGCAGATACTCTCGCATTACAGCTTCATTGACTTCCTGCAAACGGATATTTCACTGTGAATTCGCCAGGAAAATTCGGATCGAATCGACGACGTACGATAGCGCGATTCCTACTTTCTCGATTTCTTCGTCCGGCTTTTTCCGTGCCCTCAACTCCGATATCAGTCTTTCTCTGAAATGTAGAAACCAGCCTCGTGTCTCTCTCTCCGAAATAGCAACTAGAATCGGTAAAGCTTTTCTGATAATGTCTCTGCTAAATAATCTAAGGTCCACCACTGCTCCACCGGGTGTCCCGAACACAAAAGGAACCGGGATCGGTAAAAGCTGCGACAGTTCTCTTTCCACCTCGAACTTCTCCATGGTTGCTCGTCGAAGCTGTTTCCGGACGAATCCGCACAGCAGTTCAAGCGAATCTTCGTATTCGGGCTGAGATCGGAATATTCGAGTTACATATCGGTTGACACGAGAATACGAATCATATTTTATATCGTCTATCGTGGAAACATACCCTACACACCAGCTCGGCAACCAAATACCGACAACGCTCTTCCCTGATTTTGGCATCTAGATTGTGCGCCTGGAGAGACGGTACGCCGATTATAATATCTAAACAGAAATTCTGATTAGCGACGGATAGAAAGAATTTAGAGAAGGTGAATTCCTACCGAGAAGTCGTAACAGGCCGGTCAACATCGCCTTCAGAGATTGCGATACGCTGAAGCAGTGGGACACCAGCCTGGCTTTCGCCGTGACCACGATGAACCTGGTCGCCAGAGCGAGATCCCGGAGCAAAGCGTCTCGCCTCCTGTCCCGTCCGCGTTGGAGCAATCCGCTTAATCTCCATCGATGGGTCTGGCCCGCAAAGTTTATCGAGTCGACCTCGAACTCTCTGAAAAGCGAACCTACCGTGAAATCGACCCACGCGGCAGGATCGAGAAGCAACGATAATCTACGGGTTCTCTACGCTTAGAAATGAAACGACATTCACATACACGTGTTACTTTATGTTTTTGTTTCTGTTTGTTTTTAAAGGGGTAGGGGTAAGTGGGACATATGCCGTTTAAATGGAACTCCCTCGTGACAAATGTGCAGTTTCTCTCACATTGCGTGTAACATCAAGCTACGGGTCCTTGTCTATCCTCTTAGGTAGAACCAAAACCAATTAAATCTATCGCAAGCACGTTCAAGGGCTACAAAAAGAAAAACAGAAAGAGGAAAAGTACCTACACCGTGTACCGTGCTGGAGTAACTCAGGCGAATCACATTATGTACAGCGAAGTTAGCCACGAAAACAAAACATTTGAGCAAAGCAGCGTGGAATCTAACATCCTGAATCCCTGCGTAGCGCAACGCTCGACAGTGGGTTCTCGCAGAGGCAAAGGTGGTTCACGCTTCTCTCGATCGCATTGGATTTGAAACGAAGATTGCAATAGTCGAATAGTCTCCTAACAGGAAGCGAGAGAGGAAAACTTGCACCACTTTTTGCGACGAGTAGAGCCACTGTTCAACGGTTCATTGTTCGCGTT